CCACTGCACTTCAGCCTGGGCAACAGAGCGAGACTCCATCTCAGAAAAAATAAATAAAAAGATGTTCTTGTCTACCTATTTAATATGTATCATGTCCCAGCCACATATCCTATTATTGTTAATAAATGTCATGCCCCAGGCACGAGTGAAGACTGACATAAATTCCTACCTTCTGAAGCTTCTAGTGATCTTTGAAGGCAGACATTAATTCATAAAAATATGTTGTGGAGGTTTTTGATTGGCGTACTGGAGGTTATGAAAGCCCAAAGGGTAAAACTCAATTTCTTAGTCACAAATACTTTCTTGTCTTACATAATATTTTGGTAAGACACTTTATTAGCTGAATGGCATCCCCATTGTGTAGCTATATCTTAATTTTCCTAACTTACTGTCATACATGTCAATTTTTAGCTATCGTAATTAAAATAATACCCTCACAGTTAAATCTTTGTACATGATCACAACTATTTTTGTAGGCCATATTACTAAAAGTAATATTTCTAGCTTAAGAAAAAGGCAAACTGTAGAAGGTTTAGATAAGCATTGCCAAGTTGGTTTCCATAAATATTGTATTTTTACATTCACCAGCAGTGCAAGAACATGCCCATTTCACCACACCTTCCACAGTATTAAATATCATTACTTTTATTTTTTTAATGTTCTGTGGCATAGCAATATTTGTTGGATATCATTAAAGAAAATGTATGGAGCAATTTGATAACCTTTGATTGATTTGCAAGTAAGATTGAACCTTGTAGTTGGAGGTTTATTTATTGGTTCTCTCATCTTTCTTTAGTGAATGGCTTGTTTATATCCCTTTCCTGTTTGATGCAGACTGCTTATCTTTTTGTTATTAATTTACTAGGGATTTGTGCATTAAAGATAATAACTCAGCTGGGCATGGTGGCTCTTGCCTATAATCCCAGCACATTGGGACACCGAGGTGGGAGGATTGCTTGAGCCCAGGAATTTGAGACCAGCATGGGCAACATAGAAAGACCCTGTCTCTACAAAAAAAAGAAGAAGTTAGTCAGGCTTGGTGGTGTGCCCTGGGATCCCAGCTACTTGGGAGGCTGAGGGCAGGAGAATCACTTGAGTCCAGGAGTTCAAGGTTATGGGGAGCTATGATCATGCCACTACACTCCAGCCTGGACAACAGAGCAAGACCCTGTCTAGAAAAAAAGATAATTCTCTAGATAAGGGCAGATCTTGAGAGAGAGAAATTAATGACTTACAGTGGAGTGATAAAACTTTTGCTGAGTCACATATTTCTTACAAAGTCGAAAATTGGCTATGGAGCTCACTCCTATAATTTTATGGCCTTCTATCATTTGTGCACAGACCATGTTTCTTTTGCCTCTCTTCACAATATTTTATACATTCTCATCCAAATTTTCATTTGTTGCGGCTCAGAGATTACCCTTCCCATGATTGTTTTTCTGCTGCTTAATACAATCAACTCTTATTTCCTTTTTTATAGATAACACCTGTGCTGTAGATTAACTGTGTAATTGGGCCTATAGGCCAGCTCTGTTCTCAGTTTTTTGGACTGATATTTGGGGAAGAATGAAAAAGGGGCCATGGTGATGACCACTTGTGACTCTTTCTCTGTCTCACTACAGATAGAAATGTACATCTTTTCTGCTGTTCTCAGGAGGGTGGGATAGTAAATAGCTTTCACAATACCCATTTAGCAGGTTGCTTAGCAAAGGTGCCCTTTTGTTCTGGGCATTTGAAGACAACAAATGGTAATGGAGAAATGGGCAAAGGAAGAACTGACAGGCTTTATTGATGAAAACAATCACTGAGGTATACACACATGTATGTGCATGAGAAAGGTGTGCTTGAGTGACATGACTGTGCACAGATGACAGGAGCGAGTTAAAGAAAATATTTTTTACATTTCTGTAGAAAGATCTTAATTCAAGAAACAACTGATAAGGCGCAGAATCTGGGTGGAATAACAAGGTGATAGAAAGTTTCTACTTTACATCAGAATATGGAGATTCCTGTACTATCTGACTTTATGAATGTTCTCAGTAATACAGCATTTCAAATGATTTTTGAAGAGCAAAATTTTTTAAAAACACTTTTCTGCCAGAGAACTAAGTTCTAAAAGCTGGCATTAATTTCTGTCTATGTCAAAAGCCAAATGGATTAATAATGGAATATCACATGAAACATACAATGTTTCATGTCAGTGTTCTTAATCATAATAATAAGACTTGATAAGAAAGCTGAAAAAGATTATTCCCATTCTGCAGTTGTTATAATAAATGAAACCATCCCCTGGAGAATATGCTCTTTTTTAAAACAGTTTCAGAGATCGGCAGTCAGAAAATATTCCAACTTGATTAAAATTTTTCATTACATGTGCAGCCAGCTCCTTACCTGATCTTTCAAGTAGGAAAAATATGAGAATTGTAAGCCTTGGTAAAATGTTATGGAAATGTAAAACTCAGTAAACACTAAAAAAGCAACTGAAGATTCAAATCAGAAGGTAACAATTAAGAACCTTCCAAAGTTGAAGCAAGTAAGCATAGTGAATGATGAGACTTAGATGTGTCCATAGAAAGACTATTCTTGTTTTCCATTTTTTCAAATGTAGCTTTTCTGGGCAGTGCTGATTGACAGAGTAGTTTTTTATTTCAATGACCTCCAGATTTAAAGGCAAGGGGGAACTATGGTGTATATTGATGCTGTTTTGTATTTTAAACATCAAAATTTACCATACTTTATATTTCTGTAACTGATTTTATATTGAGGTAGTGCAGTTCATTTACACACAGTCATTATTTAGTACTCTGTTAATGTTTCAAGGGGCTGGGCACGTAAGCCCAACACTTTGGGAGGCCAAAGCGAGCAGATCGCTTGAGCCCAGGAGTCTGAAACCAGCCTGGCCAACATGGTGAAACCCCATCTCTAAAGAAATACAAAAATTCGCCCTGTTTGATGGCATGCACCTGTAGTCCCAGCTACTCTAGAGGCTGCAGTGGGAGGATCACCTTAGCCTGGGGAGGTCAAAGGTGTAGTGAGTGTTGATTGACCACTGCATTCCAGCCTGGGTGACAGAGTGAGACCCTTGAGCCACATGGACCAAAATAAAAAGTGTGTTGAATATTCATGTTTATAGAGCAAAGCATGTATATAAAAATACTTTTGTATCAAAGTGTTTGATATATTTCACCTTTTTTTGCTCACAATACATTGTTTTTATTTGAGCTATAATTGTTCTCTGGGAATATTTTAAATCTAGTTTTTATAATGAGCTTAAGGCTTTATTTGGACTTTGATCGTAAAATGTACTTACTTTGCATAGTTAACATGGCTATTACCCTGTATTTTTTCAGGTTCTTATTTTGAGTTCTTCATTATATAAGTTTTAATTTTTTTTTAACCCATTAGCAAGTTTATTGTAATTGAAATGTTACTTGTCTTTTAAAAACTATGAAGCCATTCTTTGAGATAGCACAAAGATGTCTTACCATAAAATGTTAACTTTACATATTTGTAAATTAGAAACATCACTTTACATATCACATTACTATGGGTCTAACGATTTATAAATAGCATTTTGCTTATTTTATGATGATCTAAAAAATTCACTTACAGATGAATAGTGTACTCTCAAAATGTATTTTATCTAATTGAGACATCTGAGATTGCATGTTTATGCCCCAAATTCCTTGCATTCCAAATTTTCTTGAATTCCAAATTCTTTGGGTTGATTTTTATTCTTATTAGGACATTTCAGAAATTTGGTAGGATGCAGTCACCTACTTTTTTCATGTTATTGAACATTCTGTAAAAGCACTATCTGTTTAAAGTATATATTCCTACATATCTGTGTACCATTATGTTTCTTATTCTTTAATTATAATTTGATAAGTCAAGCTTGAGTGATTAAACAGTTGCTGGATAAATATTTCAAAAGTGGGAAAAGAGGAGGAGAAATAGGTTTTAGAACTAGATGTACCATTCAGTTTTTACTTGAAGAGCCTGTGCCACATGTCTGTTATGTGGTTGGAGCAAGAATTTGTGCTTAAACAAGCATCCTGGCCTTACTGATTTGGACATGACCAGTATAGAGATGGTGGAAATCTTGGCCATGAGTGGGATTGCTGAGGAGGAGGACCTCAGAAGGCTGAGTGCTTCCTCTTCAGGAGTGTAGCCTTTCTTAATGATAGACTGTCATCTTAATGCAGTTTATTCAGTTATACGTTAAGCTTTCATTTCTTCCTCTGTTTTAAGGGAGGTGAACAAAAATTTGTATATCCTAAATGTTTTTTATTTTAAAAGTCTTCCTTGTCTTTTGTACTTGGTGACTATGAAATTAAATCTGATATATAACTAATTAATTAAACAAGATTACCTGAATAATATTTGCCAGCTCTATTATGTACGCTACAATGTTGTGGAAAAGTTTTCTGTGATGTTGTATATCTCTGCTTGGTCTCACAGATGTTGACGTTGCAATTAGTTAGAGGCTGTCTGAACCCAGATACCGTTTTCTGCTGATTTTATATGATCAGGATTTGGTATTTTTTTGTGAATAAACACCATTAGTGAACATTAAATGTATTGATAACTTCAGAATTTCCTTATAAAAAGGGAGACAAATGAATTATATTTATTTATTTTTACTCCTGTTGTTACTGTTTTTCTTGTCGTTTAGAGTATATAATGAGACCAAAAAAATCCCGAACTCTAGAACTCTCCTAGTCTTTAGTCCTTCCACTACATTTTCCCCCTAACTTTCTCAAATCTGGTTTAGGTTTGGTTCAATATTGAATAATTGCTACATACAAATATTAACAGCTGGTTCCTGAAATCTTCTGGAGTGGGTGCAGATGTACTGTTTTCATGAATCTTGCTATGGAAACTTGGTGGAAATATTTTGCCTCTTATGATTAAGGAACTGCTCATTAGCAGTCTTTAAAAATAACTTTGAGAAAGAAACATTGGAATATAATGTGCTGTGCAATTTTGTTCCCTATTAGAAAGCAGAAGATGAGGATATTGTTCTCACACCTGATGGCACGAGAGAATTTCTGACGTTTGAAGTCCCACTTAATGATTCGGGATCTGCTGGCCTTGGTGTCAGTGTCAAAGGTAACCGGTCAAAAGAGAACCACGCAGATTTGGGAATCTTTGTCAAGTCCATTATTAATGGAGGAGCAGCATCTAAAGTGAGTGTCAACTTTACCATGCGTATGCCTTTTAATTTCAACATTGTTCCTATTTTGAAAACGTATTCCTATTGAAACTTTTAATTTCAACCCTGTTCCTATTTTGAAAACATATGCAGTTAACAGAAGTTTTCTCATTTCTTCATGGTACCGACATTCACAATCAAACAACTAGGAGATGTCTCAGTGATGTGTCACGTGGGGATGGAGTCCATAACTTCAACTCTTCATTTTTTCTCTCACAGAACATACAACCCATAGACATGCTAGTTAAATGAAGTTAATCTATGCAAAGACTTGGCATAGGTCCTAACACAGAATGGGCATATAGTAGACATTAATCTTTCCCCTCCCCCCCTTGTTTGTGGGTCACTTACTCTATTTCTCAGCCTAGAGAAAATTTCCTGGCCATTTGTTAAGGGGACAGTTCTCTGCAACTGTCTAATAGCCTTGAGCTTTTACATGTCTTGGTTTCTAAATAACCTCTATGGGTGTTTCTGGAAGCAAGAAAGTAATCACTTTGTGTCCTTTGAATTAGTATGCTATTTTGGTAAACAGATTATGATAATGACTTGATTTACAAATGTATAAATGATTGAAATAGACACAGGCTACAATAGCTGCTTAGATGTTATTATGCCAGTGTTCAATTGGGCATAATCCATTAGGATTAAAGCTCTCCACTTTTTTTTTTGGCTTTGTTTTTTATTTTATTTATTAACTAAAGGAAAAGCTACTTCTTTTATAGCAGTCTATTTAATAGCACTTATGTTTACCTGTTTTCTTCCCAGGATGGAAGGCTTCGGGTGAATGATCAACTGATAGCAGTAAATGGAGAATCCCTGTTGGGCAAGACAAACCAAGATGCCATGGAAACCCTAAGAAGGTCTATGTCTACTGAAGGCAATAAACGAGGAATGATCCAGCTTATTGTTGCAAGGAGAATAAGCAAGTGCAGTGAGGTAAAAATTGCAAAAAAGTGCTAGCATCTGAGATTGTAATAAAACTACATTTCTGTCCTAATTTTGGACAAAGGGTGTTAGGTTCCAGGACCTTACCTCAAAAGACCATAAATTATCTTTGCTTGTTGTGGTTTTGTTATTTTGTAGGTGGATTGTGATTTGTGTTCTTAATTCTTGTGATCAACATATTCCTAAGTGGATATTAATACTTCTATTGCCAACTCAGCAGGAAACACTGGGATCTTAAAAACCCCTTTAGCTGAATTTTTTCTTGAAATCAGGGTCACATCTTCCTTCTCAGAGCCAACAGTTTCTCTTCTAGTTGGCAGAGTTATACCTGGGAGGTGAATCATGCAGAGAAACAGTTGCTTATTCATTTGTTTATCTAAAATGGGATGCCTCTTACAAAGTCCCTAGTAGGGAACAGTCTTTCTTTCTCCCATCCTTTCTTTTTTTTTTAAAGACAGGATCTCACTGTGTTGACCACGCTGCAGTTCAGGGTTGTGGTCACAGCTCAATGCAGCCTCCATCTTCTGGGCTCAATTGATCCTCCTGCCTCAGTCTGCCAAAGTCCTGGGATTACAGGCATGCACCATAGCACATGGCCCATAATCTGACTTTCTTAGATGATGGTGTTCTCTTGTGAGATTATCAATAGCATATACCTCCCTCTCTTTCTTCAGTCCCCATTTTCTCTTTCTCTATGGGATTGAGTCTGTTCTCTTTGAATGCCTCCTTTTTCAGTAACCTGTATTGCATTATACTCTGCTTGTTCTAAATGTATGTTGCAGTTTGGAATTAGGAGTGAGGAGAACACAGAGCATCCTCTTTTGAAGGATAGGATCATCTATTTTCCCAAATATGGAAAAACATATTTGTTGTATAATAGGACATTTGAAAGTTAAAAATAAATTATATGTAGACTTGATAATATTGGAGCTTGAAAAAAACTAAATTGCATGGATCCATTATAAATTATGTGCCATCTGTAGAAAATAGGTCAGACTAGCCCGTGTGCAAAATAAGCTGTTGAAAATGTGAAGTTTTTCTTAATCAGTGTTCAGATTCCCACATTTTAAGATCAACTAAGATAAAATGATTAACAAATAATACAAACTGAAAATTATACCTAAATTTTTTAAGTGTTTTTCTTAATTTTTAAACTTCTGTTTACTAAACATATAAAGCAAACTCTTCAGGTTGCAGTGTCCACTCATCTGAACCTATGATACAAGCATATTTTACAAAGAAAATATACTCTTGAGCTCAGCTGGTAGTCAATATAGAGGTGACGTATTCTGAAAGATCACTGACCACTGAATTATTTTGTTATTTGTATTTGCCAAATGTAGAATGAGTTAACAGTAATCAACAAATTAATTTCCATATCAAGAGAACAACATAACCTTAACTAAAAAATCTCAGAATGGAGAAGAGTGGGACATAAAAACATTCATTTGTGTAAGATAAATATAAAAGCTAATCCCTCACAGTAGGATACTGGACTGATATTTTCCTCTCTTCCCTCCCTCCTGGACTAATGGAATAATAGTTTTTACTCATTGCAAAATCATTAGCTGATCCTTTAACTTAAGTCCCACAAAGCACTATATGAAAACGTCTCAACTTAAGTTTACAAAACATATCATTCTCTATTTTCTTTTGGCCACCTGAATACTTTCCCATTCCACAGGACAGTTTTCATTCCATAGATATTTGTTGAGCATCTTATGTATATCAGAAAATGTGTTAGATCCTGGGGACATAGCAATGAATAAGACAGATGGCATGCATTCTACTGGACGACGTATCACCTTTGTCTTTTAGAGACCAACTAAAATTTTTAACACCTTCTCAACGTTTTCCTTCACAGAAAACATTGAATGCTGTAGGAGGACTTAAAATGCAGAAATGGACTGAAGATCAGTGTCCTACTTTTATCTGATTCAGATTATCCCTGTTGTTCCCCCTTAACAGTGACAAAGTAAACCTGTACCAGCCTGAAAATGTTTTGATAAAAGCACTGATTTTATTCTCTCTTGTCCTGTAAGAGACATGAAATTGGAATCCCCCTGAAATATCTCTGTGTCTTATTCACTTCTCCATATTAATTTGTGTGAATGAATATGATTTAAGTAAGGAAACAGCTGCAATAGACAGTAATAGACTTTAATATTCAATATTCCTTTTGGTATCATTTTCATACATTGCTAGTTATTACTATTTCTTAGGACAGCATAAGCTTATAAAGCAATTATATAAAAAAAAATCTTATGAGTACTGTGCTATCTTTGTAATACTAGCAAGAAGCCTTTTGTACTGATAGGGTTTAACTAAAGAATTACATGAAGACAGAAGATCTCAATTCAGCTTCCCATAAGGCATAAGACATGATTTTTCTGCTGTTGTACTTATGTATTACCTTTGGAAAACCTTCTCCTTTGCACACTGGGAGGGTATGTGTAAATTATTTTACAGTAAATATTGATATAAGCATAGGGCATCATGCTATCCTGAACAAATCTCAAACCAGAATAATGTGCTGAGTTTTCTTTCTAGGTCTTTTAATCAGCCGTATAGTCCAGTCTTTGCCAATCAGAAAACCGTATTTTGCTATCTCATCTTTAAATCCAAGGTTTGCATATTTAATTTCAAGTTAGGGAAGGTAAGAATGTGTAAAAGAAAATCTTTTGTTCTTTTTCACATTTTTCTTTCTCTTATACATGGAAGTGCTATGTATTAATATGTTTTCTTTATTTTTCACTTTTGTAGAGACAGGGTCTTGCTATGTTGTCCAGTCTGTTCTCCAACTCCTGGCCTCAGCCTGCCAAAGTGCCGAGATTTCAGGCATGAGCCACCTCACCTGGTCCAATATGTTTTCTTTGAATTTATTTGTCAGTTCCCTTCACCAGTTATTATGTTAAAGCCCTGTATTTCCCTAACATTAGTCCTGACAAGACACATTGGAGAGATTCTCCGGGAGCTATTTCTTAGCCTATTTTGCTTGGCCTTTCAGGAATCTGCAGGCACTATCTCATTCTCAAAGTGTCTCCTATCTACTGTCTCTCGTTTTCTGCTACCATACTCTGGGTCTTCTCTAAGGTTTCCTCTTTTCTGTCTGTTCTTTCATTGTTCCTGTCTCTCAGAGTTCCTCTGGGTCTGTTGTCTGTTTTTTTGGTCGTGTGTTTTTTATGGTTTTTTTTTGTTTTTTTTTTGTTTTTTTTTGAGACGGAGTCTCGCTCTGTCGCCCAGGCTGGAGTGCAGTGGCGCGATCTTGGCTCACTACAACCTCTGCCTCCTGGGTTCAAGTGATTCTCCAGCTTCAGCCTCCTGAGCAGGTGGGATTACAGACATGCGCCATACCCAGCTAATTTTTTGTGTTTTTAGTAGAGATGGGATTTCACCATGTTGGTCAGGCTGGTCTCAAACTCGCGACCTCGTGATCTGCCCACCTCAGCCTCCCAAAGTGCTGGGATTACAGGCGTGAGTCACTGCGCCCTTCCGGGTCTCTTTGTTTTTAACTCTGCTCATACTCCCTAGCTGATCTCCACTCCATGGTCCTCTGAAACCACTTGTTAGGATGAATACCATCATCCTCTTTCCAGCTCACAACTCCACTCTGGCACCAGATCCCTCTGTCCACCTGCCTAGGGAAATATTTCCTGCTCTGTCTTATGGGCACCTAATTCACAAGGGATCACATTCTTTCTGTTGTAGAAGGCAGAGATCTGGGGTCACCCAAATGACCCTTTCAATGCTGTCAATATGCCTGTTGCCTGTTGCCTCTACCTCTAGAATTTCCCTCTTTTCTTTTTTGGAGACAGAGCCTCACTGTCTCGCTCTATTGCCTAGGCTAGAGTGCAGTGGTGCAGTCTCAGCTCACTGTAGCCTCGACTTCCCATGCTCCAGCAATGAGGCCACCTGTCTCCCTAGTAGCTGGGACCACAGGCATGCACCACCGCACTCAACTAATTTTTTCTTTAAAGATGGGATCTCACTATGTTGCCCAGGATGATTTTCAACTCCTGGGCTCAAGTAATCCTTTGGCCTCAGCTTCCCAAAGTGCTGAAATTACGTCTGTGAGCCGCTGCGCCTGGCCTAAAATCTCTCTTCCCTCAGCTGCTCCTGTCTCTCCCCTCTGCCACTGCCTGAGTTCAGACCTCATCCTCTCACCAGGCTCATTGCTGCAGCTCCCTGAGGGGTTTCTCTGCAATCAGGCTTTCTCCCTCATTCCATTCTCTCCACTGCAGTCAGGCAAATTTTTCTACAAAACACATTGATTATGTCAGTCCCTGCTGAAACCCCTTTGGGAGCTTTCCACATCTCCAGGATCAACCAGTCTCCATTGTGGGGTCCACTGGGACATGCCTGATTGTCATCGGTGCCCTACAGCCCCTGCAGCACCTCTGCTCCAGCTACTCAGTGTTTCTGGTTATTTCTCAGACATGGGATGCTCTTTCACACCTCTAGGTCTTCCACTTGCGTCCATCTGCCCCTCATCCTAGCAAAGGCTTACACAGTCTTTCATTTTCCATTTTCTCTTCCAAAGTATTTTCATAGCCCCATGTACTCCCCTCCACCCAGCAGCTGTCACACTATCGTGGTTTCCTCTTTGATTTTCTTTTGCTGGAATTGTGGATTCTGACACTGCCAGGACTTGATCCATCTACCACTTTCCTATGTATCCATCGCTGGTATCCAACCCAGGCCTGACCCATCAGCACAGGCTGAATGAGGAAGAGCAACCCTGGAGAGTCTGGCTTTTTAAAATTTTTTTTTGAGACGGAATCTCGCTCTGTCACCCAGGCTGGAGTGCAGTGGCACCATCTTGGCTCCCCATAAGCTCTGCCTCCCGGGTTCACACCATTCTCCTGCCTCAGCCTCCCAAGCAGCTGGGACTACAGGCACCCGCCACCATCTGGCGTTGTGTCTGTGGTTTTTTTTGTTTTTGTTTTTTAAAGAAAAAGAGGTCTTGTTAGTGTTAGAAACTGAAATTCCAAAGTCACCCTCAGACAAGGCAAACAAGATGAATTTGGAGGCAGTAATTCTTACTTCCTTTGCTTTCCTTCTTTCCATAGATCTAATGGTCTCACCTAACTACACTTAAAAACATTGTATAAGCAATCATTGTTTGTTTTCTTTTTCCTTTCTTCAAAGAAAAAGAGATGGCTTCCCATTGTTTAAATCCCTTAAAGGATTGTTTCACTTTTTTAGAGAAAAACTGAGTCCTGGCATTCTTTTCCATTGTTTCAGTTTTGGAATATACAAAGCAAGAAGAGAAAAATTGTTTTCACTTACTCCAAAGGACACATTTGTTGAAGACTTTTAAACAAGTCTGAAGGGGAATGCAAGTAAATACCAGGCATCATTCCTTGAGTGTTGAAAATAGCCTCTATATAAGAATTATGCTGATTTTTAAATATTTTAAGGAAATTAATATTTGTAGAAATTACTGTAATTTAACATAACTTCCAGGCATTTTATTATATCCATGTTAGAAGTGATTTTATATAAAGCTTTTTCTTAGTGCCAGTAGAGAATATCGTCAGGTGAGCTTTCTGTCTTAGACCTCATATTGGGGGATTTAGTCATCAAGGACTTTAAAATAAATTCTTTCTCTAGGCTTAATCCTCTTAGAATGGGAAAGGTATGTTAGAATAGGAAAGGGGCCAAAGGTATCATTTATGAATCTCTTCATTTTCTGTATTAAGAAATAAATGCAAAGAGGTCAAATGATTTGCTTTAATGGCTGCAAGGCCAACATAGGTGGCAAAGTAATTTAGAAGCAAAATGTCTGTTTCTCTTACACAAGTGAGTGGATCTAATTGACTGTGATTGTGTTGTTCAGGCACTTTATATCCCAGTTGCGTTGGGAAATACTGTACAATAAAAGCATGGGCTTTACAATCTGATGTAATCAGTGAAATTCTGGTTCTGCCATGTGCTGACTTGAGGAGCTCACCTCACATTTCTGATTATTGCCATTGCCCTCATGGGGGTGTGAAGGAAAATAAATGTGGTTCTGCTTGAAAAGAGAATGTGAAACTGTACCCTAAATCTTCCTTCACTCTCCTCGAAAACTAAAATCTGTCTTTTCATTAGTTGCTTTGTGTTCACCTGTCCTCTGGAAGCTAGTATTTTCCAGAATGTATATTTGTAATCCAGGTTAAATGTCTTTTAATTTCAACATCATGCTGTGTCCTCAGTTTTAACAGCCTGTTTCCACATAATGTAGTGTGTTTTAAGGAAAATATGACTCACTCACTTTTAGGAATGAATTTATTAATCTATTCTGCCAGTGCCTGCTCTACGCTAGGCATTGGGGATAAATACAACATGCTAAAAAAAAACCTTGAAATATTGAATAATATGATCTTGCCAATCACCAGTGAGAATCCAGTTTTAGGTTTGCTGAAGGGGGTTAAGGCCATTCCAATACGAACTTTTCAGTGTTTCTAGTGGAGATGGTGGGATACGTTTTCTTTAGGTGAAGGACTCTGTTTGACTTGCTGATGCATACTTAAAACAAACAGAGATTTTATTAAGCCCCGCAGATAAATTCACATGAATTTTCATTATTCACTTAGCTTATTATTTCCTTTGGGATAGTGACCACAACATGAAATAAAGGCCTGTTCAAAGAGTTAAAAATAAGATTTTTTTTTACCTATGGTAATATATTTCCAAGTTACTGTAGCAAAAAACAATATCACTTTACACTCCTACGAGTGTGGGTTATCTTGCTGCAACCTAAAGCTATTTTTGTTCTTTAATAGGTAGAAAGACTTTCCTTGGGATGGAACTGAGGGGCCAAATAGCCACTGCTACAGGGTACTGTATTTAGCTGGAGTCAAGAAAATTTTTGCATGTTAAACCACAGATAGACAACAAAATGAAAATTGCAGTTGTGCTTACTTTGGTTTTTTCTAATGAAGCTTAATTTTTTTCCCCCCCGAGATGGAGTCTGTCTCTGTTGCCCAGGCTGGAGTGCAGTGGTGCGATCTTGGCTCACTGCAGCCTCTGCCTCCTGGGTTCAAGCAATTCTCTGCCTCAGCCTCCCAAGTAGCTGGAATTATGGGTGCCCACCACCACACCCGGCTAATTTTTGTATTTTTAGTAGAGACAGTGTTTCACCATGTTGGTCAGGCTGATCTTGAACTCCTGACCTCGTGATCCACCTGCCTCGGCCTCCCAAAGTGCTGGGATTACAGGCGTGAACCTGCAAAAAATCACCAAAAGATTTAAAACAAAACTGTAACCCCAATCAGTTTTTTTAAAAGAAATTAAAAGCCATTGTATCTTCTGTTAAATATTTATGTAGTCAACTATTGATGTCTTCATTTAAATCTGTCTTTTGAGATGCAAATTAAACATGGGTAGAGAGGTAGGGGAGGTGGAGAATCTTTCCCATGAAAATGTTCAAGTGCTTGATTTTTTTCTGAACAGACGTCTTACTGTTTTTCTCTAGAAAACATGCATGTACTGCTTTTTAACAGAATTTTTATTTGGCTTTATAAAATTTTAAAATAGCCTTTTGGGATACTTAGGGATGTCTCAAGAAGTTTTATAAAGGTTTTATCATGTAGAACATTGCAGGATTATACAGTTCAATTAAATACATTTTTCAGGCAAGCTTCAAGATATGTTTTTGGTAAATTGTTTTAGAGTCTTATATAGCAAGTCTTTATGTAGGTATACTTTTTAGTGTGTGTGTTCATTGAAAAGCCATACTTGTTCTTAATGGTATAGGGTATTCGTTTTATTAGCTTTTTTTTTTTTTTTTAAAACTTCTCCAGAGTCTCGTGGAATTTAGGCATTACATTCTTTTAGAAACTGTTCTTTTATTTCTTTACATCAGAGACCTTGAATATTTAATTTACTTTTCAGTAAAGCTGTCAGTTGTAATCTACAATTAAAAAAAAAAAAAACCTAATAAAACAAATCCTCATTTCACAATTTAAACCTTATTGAGTCTAATTCACTAGAGCTGCAAGTTTATTATTCTCCTGCAGTTTGACGTGCCTCCAGTTGTAATTGTGTTGACCCTTCAATGCATTAAATCTCCCCAGTGCTTATCAAACTGGGAGAGATAAGTCTACAATTCGGAACTTCATTAAATATCTCATTTATATTAAACAGATGATAGCTTCTAACAGAAATAATAATTTGTTCAGCTGAAGGAAGTGCGACAGTTGTGATTTCATGTGTGAGATGAGCACTTTCTCTCTTGCTGTGCTGTGTGGTGCTGCCCTCCTGCCCACTCCCCCACATTGGCCCTCCCTGACTGGCTAACACCAAAGCATCATACCATCCTTGTGGCGAACCTCAGAGCCTGCGTCGTGAGGATTGTAGTTAAATGTACTTTGTTCTTCCTTAAAACAGATTTTTTTGAAGGCCTTACTAATGTGAATTTCTTACTATATTATTTTTATGTAAAATATGACTTATCAGACACAGCTAACTGTTTAAGGAAATGCCCCATACCATTTTAATTTATTGTCATTGAAATTGACATACATTCATTGCTTATTTATTAGATTGTATATGTTTTTGAAATCCTCTTTGTGTGCTTTATTAGAATATTTGATCCCGATTTTCATATTGTTCTGCACACTACTAAAGTGATTATTGCAGCTGCTGTCTTAAACATTACAGTAAGATAATACCATGATTATTCTTAATTTCTAGCAGGAGGAATTTAAAATCAGTGTGTTGTTCAAGACACGTGAGCTGATAAATGGAGTCTTTAGGTCTTGTAGAGTAGGTAATAATTCCACCAGCACACATGGAAAAATGTGTGCTAATTGTTAGATGTATTTACATACCATAAGTATAAGATCTGTAGCTAAATTGCAGCTTCCATTCTAATAAAGCACACCTTTTATAGAGTAACATCTAGTAAAGAATTCTGAATTATACTGTAACTTAAATTGACTTAAACAGACACTAACAGTCAAATTCGGAAAATAAACAGCAAGCTCTGATTTTTAAAAAGCCTTAAATATACATATTTTTCCCTCAGTGGTTGAAATCTGACAGAACTTCATGGGAGGCATGGTATAAAGTGGCACAGAAAGGTGGTCATTAGGCAGAGCTGTCATCACAAATTATTTTGGTACAGGGTGAAAAGTTCTAGTTCATTTGGTACCCTGTTGGATACAGGCCTTGGGCAAGTTGTTATAATTCCCCCATGCTGCTCATGGGCCTCCAGGTACTGATTTTTCTTTGCCCCCACCCCCCTTACTCTGTAGCTAAAGTCACCTGGGAGCCCCCCTGGACCTGAGCTGCCTGTTGAAACAGCGTTGGATGATAGAGAACGAAGAATTTCCCATTCCCTCTACAGTGGGATTGAGGGGCTTGATGAATCGCCTAGCAGAAATGCTGCCCTCAGTAGGATAATGGGTGAGTCAGGTAAAACTCTGTTTATCACATCTTATTTTGATGCTTTCATTGGTTTACTGAGAGGTTATTAGTGTAGTATTAATGTAAATAAAAATATAATGTTTTCAAGACAACAGGTTTCAAGACAAAGGAGAACAGGTTTATTAAAATCATTCAGGAAGTGTTCATGTGAAGAGGTAAATCAACCCATTGATTTAAGTGACTTGTAGATCCTGTAACATGAGGAAAGAACCAAAAAGAAAGGGATCATATGGAAATGTTTTCCAGTGATCAAGATATTCTTTACTTACTTGAAATAATAAGTGAAGCTATGTTTAAAAAGAAATAAAAATTTAATGGCTTATGGCAAGAAGGATTCAAAAGTTACATATCATTCACAATGGTACTGCCTGGAGGGGGAGAAAAAATATGTATATATAGATATATGCACACATATGTAAAATATTCACATGTATTTGATTTGTATTTAATAGGATGTTACTGTATTTTAATTGTATTTTACTTTTCCGAAGCCTTAGTTTTAAAATCCCGAAACTAGTCTTCTGCATCCTTTGTTTGGATTCAGTACCATCCTATCTGCATGGCTCCCAGTGGGTAATGAGGTTATTAGCACTTGCTTTGCAGCAGTTCAGCTTTCTACTAACAGATCCAGTTAATAAAGACTTGCTTTGCCACAGGAGTGGTTGGATTTACTGAGTTGCTCATCTTGGGATTAGCTTGTGAGAGTTTTCAAATTTAAAACACAAGAAGTCATTTTGATTAAAGTAACACCTGACATAAAGCACTTTTATTACTGGTATATTTTACAAGGCTTTCATTTAAAGTAAAGCCCTAAATTTAACTCTATTTCGAGTACATTTAATGCAGATTTGGTATAATTCAAGTTTCCATTATGGAGCCTCATTGAAACAGTAATTTATTCATCAGTGGGTGTTTATGGAAAGTCTGCTATTGGCAAGATATTGTGTATATACTTTTGCTGTAGATACAAAGATGAGTAAGAAGCAATCTCTGCCTTCAAAGAACTTTCTACTGGGCATCATCAAAAACATACATAAACATGTCTAGTAGAATTGTCTGTTTTTCTTCCTCTAATCTCTCTAGCTTTCTAATTTAGAAAAATTGCTGAATATGTAATTTCTTGTCTTGTTACTTGTGGAACTTAGACAAGCCAGCTTTCTGGTTTTACTTTGTCAACGTTTTTCTTTTTACCTGCTTGGCATAAGTGAACATCAGGGAAGAGTGCCACACCTATTGGGTTGAACACCTGTAGGTGAAAGGCTTTGTACATAGTTTCTCACTTTTAAATCTTTGCTTATTACTTACCACTCTCTTCACTGCTGTTGGTTTTTCCGTACTTTCTTGGCTTTGGTATAAAACTTTATCTTTGTTAAATTATCTTTTTATTGATGAAATTTCAGTCCCCTTTAGAGAGAAAGAGTGTGCATGTGTCCCTAGATAATGTGTGCACACAAAGTGATATGCTGTAATTTCCCCTTTATTATAGGAACATAGGACTTGCCATACTGGATCAGACCATTGGTCCACCAGTTCCTGTAACCTGCGTCCTGCCTCCAATCCCTGATGCTTCAGAGGAAGGCGAAAAACTAAAACTAAAACTCAAACCAAAAAAAAATCCCTAAATTCAGCTAGTGACCTTTTGAAATGCTGTATATATGAGTTGAAGAGTCATTCATTTTCTTCCTAGTCTGTTGCCCTGATTTTGTTAGCTACAGCTTTATTAGTCCTCTTCAGTTTGCATTATAGTTGACATTGTTTCCTCTTCCTTCTGCTAGATATGTAATGAACTCTTAATACTCCAGATGCTTCCTCAGGGCAGTAACTTCTCTCCCAGTTCTCTGTTTTGTGATGTGTATGTCCTTTTACCACTTTGGGCTGGGGGTGACAAATGCATTACTATTTAAGGGTAGGCTAAGTTGATGTTTTTGTGATTTGGATATTTTCTTAAGATAATTTTTTACAATTTGTACCAGAAACTAAGGATTCTAAATAGTTTTACCCTGACAAGTGTATATGCGTATTTTGATTCATCTTGTGTTTTGCAAATCTGAAAATTCCTCACTCTTGTTCAGTCCTTATTCTAATATCATTGGCCATAATAATCAAATGCGATTTGTGATATAGTTACCACTTAAAGTTAGAAATCCTGTTCAAGATGTTACCTTGCAACAGAACGCCCAAACAGGGCATTAGGAGAGGTATGGGGCACAAAATTTAAGAAACTTGACAAATCACAGTTTCTGAACCAAAATTTGGATGTATGTTTTTCTGAGTCATGAATTCCGTAGTTCCAAAGACATTAGAACATTGGATTTCCATTCCTCTAAACCAATAACAACAGTATTTATTGAACTGCACATTATCTAGGCATGTGGAAATTCCTCAGACTGTTTGGTTAATAATTGTCTTCTAAATGTTTGGAATCACTCCTATGTAGACATTGGTGGAGGTGAAGGTATTTACTTCATGATCTGCTATGATACAAAAACAACTTTGTATTGAAATTCTGGCTCATTACCTTAGGGAGTTATTAATTTTGTGTTAACAGGTTGAATTTTCATATGGAATAATCAATCCCCTGTGTAGGACTCTAGGCTGCAGGGAGCTTTGAGGCTTTGTGATGCATTCCTTTGTGAACACATGCCTGGAGAAAGGCTTTTAAAAGCTATACCCCAAAAGGAAGAGCTTCTAGAGTTGGAAGGATGTCAGATGCCATCAGTCACACTTTCCCACTTAACAGATGAAGGAACTAAGTCCTGATATCCCAGGATGTTTTTTGTTTTACTTTGTTTTGGCTATTTCCTTTTTCTAAAAATAGCCTTCTCTAGGGAATGCTGAGATCTTCATTCTTTATTAGTATCAATGTATAATTATCTACATCTGTAAGCAGATATTCGAAAGTCTCCATATCTTGTTCTATCCTGGCACCTACGGTGACTAAAAACATCAAAGACGTTAAATCTTTGAAAACAGCCTTCAAACCACGTACTCCAACCGACTTACCTTATATGTCGGGGAGTTATGGAGCAAATAAATTAAGTAACTTAACAGAAGCTGCACACTTTCTGTACTTCTGAACCAAAATTTGGATGCATGCTTTTCTTTATCATGAGTCACACCTGATTAGGATTTCCTTAGCTTTTATTGGGGTCAGCCAGGATTGTAACCAAAGGCAAGATTTCTCTGTCATCTCTTTTGACAGAATTCCCACTATCATGGATTTTCTAATAGTCCTGAACATTTATCAGAAAGTAATCTGTAGTGGGCCTGCCTGCATAGGATTCTTCCTTTGAAAAGCCTTAATTTTTCTAATGGTCTCTCTTAACTAACAATCAAAAACAGCAACAAGGCAGCTGGGCACAGTAGCTTATGCCTGTAATCCCAAAACTTTGGGAGGCCCAGGCAGGTGGATCACCTGAGGTCAGGAGTTCAAGACTAGCCTGGCCAACATATGAAACCCTGTCTCTACAAAAAATACAAAAATTAGCTGGATGTGGTGGTACACACCTATAGTCCCACCTACTGGGGAGGCTGAGGCGGGACAATCGCTTAAACCCGGGAGGCAGAGTTTGCATTGAGCTGAAATCGCACCACAGCACTTCAGCCTGGGCAACAGAGTGAGACTCCATCTCAAAAAAACAAAACCAAACTAAACAAAAAACAGCAACAAGGATGATCGGCATAACTAATTTAACCAGCACATCCATTTCATACAAGACATCACACGTTGTCATTTGTAAGCCTGGGACTTTAACTTTTTCTCAACTTTTTTAGCTGAATAATTTTTCTTTTTAAAACAAAACTGAAATCTGTTGTATCCATTTTAGAATTTATCTCAGTAGTTTGTATATTCATATATATGTGGTGAGTTTAAGAAGACGTTATATTTAGAACATTTTTATCTTGTTAGCAATTTGACATAGAAAAATGGAACATTAATGTTTTTATTGTGAGTCATGTCACTGGCACGGTTTTCTTCTGGTATCATATGTGGTGTTACCTTCTATGTAAATTTGCCAATGAATAAATGTTTAGTGAACAAACACTTTGTATTTCCTTGTTTCACTCCTTTACAAGATACTGACTAGTTTACTTAGTTTGTAGGTCACTAGTTAACTAGTTGATCAAAGAGGAAAATTAACCTATCAAAAATAAATTGAAGCCTTCTGAAGTCATAGAAGGTTTCACATTTATGATGTGCCAACTACTAGCAAACATAATTAAGGGATCGTTGTATTGTCTTGGTGGAGCTTAGTAGAATATGTAGTTAAGTTTTTTAGCTGTCCGTTACCCTAGTATAATCTTGGAGCCATAACCCAAAACTATATTCCTGGCAAGCATGTTAAGAAGCAGAAAATAGAAATTTTCAAATCTTGTGAAATGTTAGCCTTTCAAATCATGGGTGAGAAAAAAAAAAAGCTAAATTATTTTCTTACTATGAGAAAGATTTCTTGCCATTTATTTATGTATACAATATTGTATCACAACAGTTAAGGTACAATATTTCTTCTCAGAACAACAGATTACAAAAAAAAAAAATCATATGCACCTTTCAGTGTTCCATATTGCTTATTAGGCCATCTCTCAGCATATATTGTGTAAAACCAGGAGTTTTAGTTTTGTGTTTAAAAGTGAATGCACTATGATTATACTGTAATATTTCCTTTAAAAAATTATGCCCGTGTGGGGACTTGGTATTTAATATTGTGACATGCCTCATCAGTGGTGAGTTGTCCATTGGGGTAACTGGTTTTATAATTCTATATGCTTTGAAGAAAAAAGTATGTCTTGAGAAGGAAACATTTCTTTGGCTAATAGTGCTAGAAAGTCCTATCTTATTGATGAATATTACTTTTGCTGAACAGGTTTCTATCCTAATATTCTAACACTGTATTAGAAATAAATGAGTAATTTGAATTCAGGTAAGGGAAATGGCTAAGTATTACATTTGATTTACATTTTTATCATTAGCATTTATATAAAGCTGTTAATTTTCATAGTTTGTCAAAATGGGTGCATTTGAAATCTAAGTAGAAAGTTTTTCTTGGTAACATGCTGAGAAGAGGTTTCAGTGAACTTACAGTATTACTACAATAGTGAAGTTGATGTTAAATGAGGAATGCAGTTGAAATCTCCAGCAAGTTTACTTTTTGTGAGTTATCCTGAAAAGATGTAGCAATTTAAATAAATTATGTTCCTTTGCTGAAATGTCTACAACAATACCATACAGACTTTTAAAAATCCTTCAAGCTTGTGTATGCCATCCCAACATCCTCAGTCATGGCCTGAAAAACCTCTGGCCACTCAGCTCCTAATTTTTTGCATTAAGATCACTCCAGGTATCTCTCTAGGCTTTGTTTCTGGTGATACTCATCTTTTAAGTGTCACCTGACTGCACCGTGGACTTTTCTCCATCATGCATTTAATAATGATGTTGCTGGTATCTAAAATAAATGTCATCATTTCTTCTGGCAGAAAAGATAATATTGACCTAATTCTGATGTTAATTTTGCCAAGATTTCCAGCACTTTCTACCCGCAGTGACCCAGGCAATTACAACACAAGTGAATGGCTTTGGGCTCATCTCTCACACCACCATACAATTATCACTGCTTGTAATTCTTTCTCCTTCACTAGGGCATACGCCCTTTAAGGACAGAGACTGTGTCTTACAGTACATGCTCTGCGGCAGTTGCTCAATGAATGAATGAATGAATGAATGAACGAACAATGCAAGTTAGTGGGGCTTCTTTGTAAATTTCCTGGTAAAATTTTTCAAAAGACATTCATAGTTTAGAATGCGTGTAGCATTTTCACATTAGAAGACATTTGAGAGAGTATCTTTGGCTTTAGGAAACTTAAGAAAAATTGCATGCGTTGCCCTGAGCTATACAGTTGTAGCATCAGAGGTATAGACTCGAGGTCTCTGTTTGACAATCATTTATGAAAAATAAATGTGCTAAATTCTGTTTTGTTCTACCAGGTTGAGCAGATATATGGAAAGTTAGACATTTACTAATATAGCAAAGTATTAAAATTAATAGATGTAACACTTTGATCGATGTCTAGAATTTCTCTTCTTTTTTTACTGGACAGGTAAATACCAGCTGTCCCCTACAGTGAATATGCCCCAAGATGACACTGTCATTATAGAAGATGACAGGTTGCCAGTGCTTCCTCCACATCTCTCTGACCAGTCCTCTTCCAGCTCGCATGATGATGTGGGGTTCGTGACGGCAGATGCTGGTACTTGGGCCAAGGCTGCAATCAGTGATTCAGCCGACTGGTAAGCTCATCGTCCAGGGTTGGAAAACATGAATTAATTACAGTCGCATCTTATGTTTAAGTGGCTTACCACTAAATACAGTTAATCATTTTTTTAATAGCCATGCTCTTAATGGTTTTTATACACTTAATTATCACTCTTTTAATAAAAGATTTTGCCCCAACCCTGTAAATTTAATTGTTTTAGCCTTCAAGAGCTACAGTTAGTATTGTAACCAAAACAACAACAGAACTACTACCAATCAAAAAACCATGCTCATTTGTTTTTCAGTTTCACTATTTATGGTTTATTTCACATCTGTGTTAATTTGATGCATTGTTTTTCAATTAAATTCTTGTCATCTCCCTAAATCGATTCCAACAATTAGATAACTTTGCAAAACTAACAGTTGATGTGTTCTAAGAGTGGGAGGAGGCTTTTTTTTAAGTGTGTGTTTTTTGTTTTTGTTTTTTTCCAGAGTGCTATAACCATACTGTTTAAAATGCTTTGTAATTGCTTTTAACATAGTGACTTCTGGGGCACTCCCTGCTAATTTTTTTTTCCTGTGTCTTTCAAAATAGAAGAAAGCATTTGATACTAGTGAGCCAATGTGTGGCTCATGAATGCAGATGTGTGTCTTAATGTTTATGCCTAGTAATTATATACATCAATAAGCAGAAGCAAAGCTCCTCTTGGGGACGACCTCACAAGGTTGTAGTGATAATTAACACAAACCATGTGAAGTATTGTACCAGAATTTTCTCATTGCCCTTTCTCTGGGGTCTTTTATGAATATATCAGCAAAATCATATTTAAATGTTATGGTGTTTCTTCACCACTTAGCCATTCCTGCTTCCTACTGTTTTTCTGGCTTGTGTCAACATTAATATTAGATAGGAGGTGTCTGGGGGACTGGCATTTATTTGCGTTAACATTTTTAGTAATGATCTTAACAAAGTGAACCACTCCCCCCCGTCCTCTTCCTTAGCTCTCCGCATGAACACACAAAATACAGTTCATTTATCTGTTAATTATGAAGATGTTCCCTTGGAATAAATCACACCTCTTATTTGGGACCTTGAAAAGTTCATCTCTAGCTTTTCATTTCTTTCTTTTTTAATTCTCTTTTTGAAAGCACAGGATTTAAAAATAGAACTACACTCAAACCTGCATGATAATGGCCCCATCTTTGAATGAGGTTTTTGGTTAAACATAGAAGGGACGACTACAATATAAAGTAAAAACCCATTTGAAATCTGCAGATGGTGTTACATTGACTGCTGTGTCTCATATCTCTTTCTGAAAATGAAAGTAACAACAGAGAAAGCAAGGATTAGATAGAAGTAGTATTCATCTTAGGGACAAAAGCCTTTAAATCTCTACCATGATGAGAAATTGTGGAGGTGGTCATAGTCTTTGGGGCCTTATAAAGCAGTATATTAGTGAAAATAGATAAATAACTAGAAGGGATAGATTGTGGCATTAATTTCCCTAAGGGGGATTTGCAAAATGGTGAGGACTTGTATAATTTTGCTGTGGGGAATGTGGGGCAAAGAAAATAATATGAATGAAGGGTTATCCAAACAAGAATGGCAGCTGTTCTGAATCACAGCAGAAAATGCAGGCATTTCCAGCCTGACAATATCTTCCCTAATCCTTGATGAAAATGTTATGAAAACAAAAGGCCAATAAGACAGGATTAATAACTGGAATTTTAATAACATTAGGGGTCAAGATATGGTTACATTCTTTAAAGAATCAGCTGTCATTCCTGCAATCTAACTTGTTAAATATTCCAGTGTACTGTTTATTGTGTCTGAAATTAGTTTAATGGGAATATTGATAGGGAAGAATTAATTTTGTCATAATTTAAGAGTAGTTATTTTAGAACTCTTACTAATGCACAAACTCATTTGACATTTTAAATTGTATCTGTAGTTCACTGCACAGTTGTTGAATGCTATGTCAAATGGCTAAACTTATTTGTTTGCTTATAGAATGTACTGTTTTCAATACTTTAATCGATTGAAAGAACATTAATAATGTGTTTCTGGGGGAAAGGAAATAACAGCAAATTCTAATCTTAATGGCAGCATAATTTTAGAGGATATAAAATTCAAGATGCACCAATACGTGGTTTTCAGGCAAGATTGGCAGTGACAATTTGTATTTCTTTGAAAAATCTTTTACCAACGATTTCTACTAACACTGTAGTTCAAATGCATTCTGTTTGCAAGTTTGGTGCAGTATTGGAGTTCAGGTTTTAAATTATTCCAGAAAAGGTAAAAATAATTGGGCAGCATGTACAGAGTGACTGAAGACATCCACTGACAATATATAAAAGAATTATTGGAAATGTATTATTTAGAGTTTGCTGCTGCAAGATTGTGTCATATTACTTATCATATGGGTTTTAATTTTTTACTTCTAGAAGTGTGTTTTTTTTCACTTGGATGCATGTGCTCTCATCTTTATAAACCATTTACACCAAAGCATAGTAGTATATGAAGAGGCATCTGAGGGTAGGTGTCTGTCATCATAATTTGTATTACTTTGATAATTTGAGATAGTCTTCATTGGGTGATGACTGACTTATTTAGTAGTTAGCAATTTACATGGGGCTTTCGCCTTAGGTTGCTGAATTCTCTCATTAGCTTTTTAAGTGGATGAGATAACTATTCTTCTTATTGAATATATTAATACATAATGAGCTGAAAACATTTCAAGTCACCCTACCCAGTGGCGTGGCTTTTGCCTGCTATCTTACTTTTCACACTTTTAGCATAATTCTTTAAGAGCCAACTCTCATTTCATGCACAGTAAATTGCAGCTAAATTTCTGATGTACATCCAAAGGTTGACTGTCTTTTTACTAGTATGGATGATAATTCTTATAAGGCCATAAAGGGTTACAAAAGCTTGCTTCCATCAGAAACATGAGCAAGACTATCATAAGTTCAGCTGACAGTGGAAGGAGCCCTGGACATTTTTAGTGTGCTCAGTCAGCTGTAGAGGGATGTTCTCTCACCTGACCAGATAGGTAAGGTGGCTAGACCTAATATAGTAGAGCTAGTATACTTACTTACCCAATGTGCCCAGCACAGAGAAAACCTTTTTCATATTATGAACTGTGGCTAGAACACCTTATAGCACTTTAGAATGTGTTCACAGATTTTTACAAACAGGAGTGATTCTGGGACATCTTGCATTGGAGGAACACTTCAGAAGGCATCCCGTTACCAGGGATTTGCCACATGCTTCCTTATCATCCCCATTTGAGCCACTGTGTTGGTGTCACCAAAATCAAATGTCATCTAAACTTAGTCATGTTCTTCCTGACTCTCATATACTGTTTTTTCACTCATCTGTGCATCCTCAGCCTCTGTTTCATGCTTCTGGTATAGTATTTTTCTTGTGAGCTCATAGAGTACAGGGATCTTTCTTATCTGTTATTTGGACCTATGTCTGGTACAAATAACAGTGCCTTAATCAGAATAGGTTCTAATCAATGTTTGTTGAATTGATTTATTTGTTGATTTAATATTTCAGAGAAACTGAAGCCTTATGAAATGGCATGCCATAATGACATATTTTTTCTTTCCTTAAAACACAACATAAAAGATACATAAGAAGGCTAGAATATACTCTTTTTGAAACTTCTATTTAATTACAACTTATATGGTCACTTGTTCGCTGCTAGTATTTGTATATAATATATGACAGGTTTCCTGAAAAATTCAGTCGTTCCAATATCAGGCTCATTTTTTATAGTCACCTTGAAATAATTCTGTATTGTCAAACAGTGAAGAAGCAGGAAAGTAGAGAAGGAGGAAATTCACATGGAGAAAGAGTTACTCTAAATGTTAAATTAATTTTGTATTTTTCTATTACCTTCTATACAGCCGCAGTTTTTTTTAAATGGACTGTATTTGTGTTATTTATTTCAATTTTTCTTGAGGAATATACATATGTATATTCACATTTGCAGGTATGTATGAACCTCCCTAAAATGGATGTCTGCTATTTTTAGTAAATATTTTTATGTTTATATTTTTCTTCACTCCAGCTCTTTGAGTCCAGATGTTGATCCAGTTCTTGCTTTTCAACGAGAAGGATTTGGACGTCAGAGTATGTCAGAAAAACGCACAAAGCAATTTTCAGATGCCAGTCAATTGGATTTCGTTAAAACACGAAAATCAAAAAGCATGGATTTAGGTAGTGAGTACAGTCTCCATGAATCTTTATCTAAATAAGGTTTAAATGCTTTCAGGATAAAATTGATGGTCCCAAACAGATGTCTGTTTACTTTGAGAAAATAAATGTGAAATGTAGCAATTTGGCAAAAATTAGTTTTTCTCCCAGTTTGAGATAACGATATTACTCATAAGTGGCATGTTTACATAATATGCAATATGTTAATATATATGTTTTCTTAAGAGAATGGAAACAAACACATGTGCATATCATACTATGTCCATGTATCTTTATTTTACACAATGAAATGTTTTAACACTTTGGCTATTAAAAACCAGTTTCATTGAAATTGTATTAGGTTGGGGGTGGGATTTTTCAACTAGAAGAGAAAATTTTGGAGAGAAACCATTATCTCAATCCATGTCTGGAATTTGGTTACTTCATGATGTCTTCCTTTCATTGCTGTTCTTTAAGGTTTATTTATTGGAAACTTTCATGTTTTGATAATTAAGGCATTTAATCAAAGTAGTAATTTGAGAGTATTTCTTATAGAAAGCATTTAAGAGCAAATGAGAGGAGGAAATAATCATAGTTGTTCAAACACCAATCAGGTGTGTCTCTTTAAATCCAAATCCACCAAAAAAAAAAGTAAAATAATTATATCTATACACTGAATGATTTAAAACCTTTGTTAATCAACTGTAACTTATGCTGTTCTCTGGTGGCTGTTTGTATTCCAAGACTAAAAGCATTAATTTATCATATGCATAAAGAAAAATTTGATGATGCATTGCCTTGGCTAATTATGATATGCTAACATATAACACACATGTCTGTGAAATGAAATGACTGGCATATTGCATGGAGACACTGCTTTTTTTTCCTCCTTTTTTGATTATGAATGTTTGCTTGATGTTTCATAGTATTTGCATGAAATATTAGCTGAAGATCGTCACCTAACTGAAAAGATCTGGGAATGGTGGAAGCATGATGGGCTATGGGAACTAACTGGGCTAACCATTATACATTTACCTTTTAACAGTAGCTGACGAGACTAAACTCAATACAGTGGATGACCAGAAAGCAGGTAAGAATGGACAGTTAGACTGTTGCCATAGAAACCATGGCCTACAGAGCTTATCACAATTATAGAGCTGCCAATCATATGCCATGTAAACATACATATTGCAGTCTTACACAGATGTTTTCATTGTGAGAAATCAAATTACATAAGAAATATTTTCTATTAGTAGAAATTTATCAATGGTGTACTTACTAAATAGGAATATAATTTACTGCTTCAAAAAGGCTAGAAACAACCTAGATTTTCTTAATTATATTCATGTAAAGATGTTTTATCCCAATTTTTAAAAAGTCAAAATCCTGCAAACATGATCTGTTATGGTAGACTCCTAGGTTTTAAGTCATCTATGTGATGTCTAGGTTAACATCCCAAAAGTGATTCTCAGAGTGGTGATTTTGATTTGAAAGATAGTAGTGCCAATATAAATATTTTTCATTGTAGGACAACGTCCAGTATTGCTATCATTAGTCATTCAGAAAGGCTTATTCTTTTTATTGATGCTGGAATTAGCTTATAGTTAACCTGACATTGTATTAGACTATATAATGCATATGGCTTCATATCTTAACTTTGTGAGCTTGTTCTAAATTCATTACTTCTAAAATACTGTTAAATTGTTCCATAGAAACAATGGATTATATTGAATTGGGATTGTATTATAGTCATCGATTTTGCTTTTTATGTTATTATTGTGTGACAGTAATCACAGGAAAGTCTTTTAAGTGTAGTTAACATGCTTTGTATAATTGACCATTTATGACATAAGTTTGGAATAGTGTTTTAATCTGTATCCAGTATGATGTAGTTACACTACTTAGCACTAATTAGCTTCAATTTGCCTTTTTAACCTTCAGTAGTAAATTAGTTTTAGCGTGCTTAAAAAATGTATATCCCACATATATATGTAAAAATTATTGTGGACATGGTTGGAGTTATATTCAGTGGAGTATAAGATAGGTCGTAAAAAATACATCTAATAAATCATAAGATTAACTGTATTGCGAGGCAATTAACTGTAGCCTTAGCCCTTACTCAGTTGTTTGTTGTTCTTATGAAACCTAAAGTTTATTGAATCAGAGCTAAAGAGAAATGTTATAGGATAGTTCACATATGTGAAATAGTAGTTTTTAGAGTTAGCAGTATTTTGTACTTTTCAAGCAACAACGCCGATCCGACTAAATAGTCATAAAAACCAAATTGAGCTGCTCAGGTTAAAGGACCTGACTTCATATACAATATCAGTTAGGTAAAATAAGAAAAATACCTAATTTAACCAACTCACAGCTACTATAAGGAAAAGGACAGTTTATTGTGATCTACAACATAATGATATACAAGTTATAACTCAATGCATTAGATAACTTTCATGGAAAGTCATTACATAAGTTTCAAGGCAGATTGTATAGTCTAATCAAAAATCAGACTGTGCTTTTGTGTTTTAAAGGGTTAGATTCTAGAGAAAAAGATTTTTTTTTTTTTTTTTTTGCACTTTGTGCAGTCTATTCTACCAAATTAAATTAGAAAATCTTGGGGCAAAAAGTTGTTACAAAGATATCAAAATACTTGGTCTGTTGATTTTACATCTAAATGAATAAAATACCTAAAGTAGATATTTTATTATGTCCCTGTCCTCTAATATTAGATGGTGAAAAGATTTTCACTTATCTTTCTTTCGTCATTTCACTTGACTTTTCAAGAAAGATTATGATTTTATAGATTAGTCCAAAGGTTTTTGGGAGAATCATAGTGGCATCTTAGCATTGAGCATCTGTCTAACCTAGCCATAAGCCTTTCATAATGAAAATTGAATTATATTTCCCTCTGCCCCTTGCAAAAGACCTCCCTCCCTCCCTTCCTTCCTCTCTCTCCCTCTCCTTCTTCTCCCTCTCCCTCTCCCTCTCCAGGCAACAGGGATATTACTAAGTAGGAATAAAAACCAGATCTAGGAAAATAGTATGATTATGATTTCCCTCTTTTTTTTTCTTCCAGATTTAGGAATCTTGTATCATATTTTGGGGATAAATATTTCTCCCCAAATTATAACAAGGGAGAACAGGTATAAGAGAATTGGATTTCTAATGGTTTCATTCTTGAAATATAAAGATTAGCAAAGTATGCTAATGACCTAAAAGATTTGTGTAAAGTAAGAGCTTAAAATACTGTTTTAAAATTAAGACAAAATATACTGATTTTTATGGTGTAGATAAAGACAATCTTTTGCATGTATTTTACATACAGAATTTTTCAATTTTCATTACTGTAAAATGCTAAGTTTGTATTGTTAGGGAATCCTTCTAATTTTTTTCTAAAGGTACTTGACTGAATCAATGTATTAGGGATTTTAATAACTTCATTGAGAAATCCTAACATATCATTCAAAATCTTTGTTATAGTTTCTTGGTCAAATATAGTACTAAAATGTATGTTGCTCATGTTATAAATCGAAAGTTAGCAAGCTCTTTCTGTAAAGGAACAGATGGTAAATATTTTAGGTCTCTGTTGCAACTTTTACATTCTACCATTGTTGAATGAAAGTAGCCATAGACAATATGTAAATACATGGGCATGGCTGTGTTCCAGTAAAATTTTCCACATTTGACTCTCGGTTTGCTGATCTGTGTTACAGATTCAGAAGTTGTAGATAATTGACATTTTGTATATTTTTTTTTATTTTAAAAGTTTTCATCTCTACGTAAATATACAGAGAGTAGTTGATTGACCTTCCACAAACTCAGGGCCCACCATCCACAATGATCAACATTTTGCCAAAAGGTTATTCCAGAATGTTTTCAATTTAGGGAAATGAATAGGTAGGTAAGCGCTGAATAGAACTTACACAATTATCATTTATTGAATTATACTTTGACCTTTGTTTTTCTTTCCAAGTTTGCCTGTAGGGACACTCAATTTTAATGAACACTAATGCCATTCCTGAAATTCATTATTTAAGTTTTTATTGCTCTCAGTACACTAAGTAAAATCTCAGCTAACTTTACATAAAGAAAAGCTTAATATATATAAACGGTGTTTTTATGAGAATTCTTTCTGGAAGCATGAAATCTTTATTCATGATATATACTCCCATACAAATACATACACACATACACATATCCTTAATAAACCCAAGAAAGCACCAAATATTTGCCTAATACGTGTTTATAGAACCCAAATATAGCTGGTAAATTATGAAAACTGATAGGCATTTATTCACAAAAAGATCTTTCCAGTGCAAATTCTAGGAACTATAAAGGTAAATATCCCTGCCCAGGAATGATCTTTTCCCATTCTTTTTGATTCCTTGATTTCTTATTATGTAGGTTTTTGGAACAAAATTCATTTTCCTTCCTGTGACATGACTTTTATGAGTAATTTAGAAAATGCAGTTATCAAAAATTGTAGTGCTACCCAGAGAAAAAGTAAGATTGATCTCATTGAAAGAAATAAATCTCATGAACTTTTGTCATAAAATAAAGAAATATAGACAAACCCGCATTGAGAAAGCTAAATATGACATCTTTTTATTTACAGCACAACAATTTGTGGAGTGAATCATGTGTTTGCCTTCCTGTTTGTGCAACGTTTTAAACATATCTATTCTTACCTAAAACAGCTTCATTTAACCTCAATGAATCTTAAAAAGTTAATTTTTGTTTTGAGTCTTTCAGTGTAATTTTAATTCTATTTTATTTTCTGAGCTGTGAAAAGCCTGTGTCACAACTATTTGTCTTCTGGGTAATAACGTGATCAACATATGGGCTGATGACCCCATGCAGAGATAAACTATTTTGTTTCTCCTACCCTCTATTTTTTTCACCTGTCTTTTTAATAGTATACATGAAGAACCAGTTCTATAACCTGGATTGCCCAAGTGGTGGTGCAGAGCTGGCATTTCAGTCATCCAGAAGCTAAATTAGTCTACCTTTGAGTGTCAGGTCAGGCAGTGATAGATGAGGCTGTCTTACCTGGTTAAAGAAATCAGTTTTGATTGCCTTCCACAGCTTGGCACTATTGGTATTATTTCGGGTCCTTCTGCCCTAGATCCTCAGGAAGTAGAGCCAAATTTTTAATTCCCGGAATTTGTCCCTGTCATCCTCATGAAATGTTCTTGTTAATTGCTAAGTTGTCTTTCTTCTTTCCATCACCTGTTTTTCAAACGTATTATTCCCAGGCCTAGAGCTAGAAGTACTCATATCCAGTCTCTCCTTTTTTATTTCCCTCTGGGAGAGAGGCCTTACATAATCTGTTTCTGTTCAAAGCTTGTGTTACTCTTTCTATGGAATATCCATATTTCCCAACCTGCTGCCAGGTTGCCCTAATTGTTTTGGTGACATGTCGGCCCCCGTGGTCTTACTCCTTATGCAGTGTTGTGAGTCTGCACTTTAGCAAGGAAGAGACTTGACAGAGCACATTGATGTGCATGTCTAACTTCTGTTTTAAGTAATTTTAAATTGCCAAAAAAAGGTTTTAATTAAGTGCAAAGCTTATTCTTGGTTGTTTACCTTATCCTTCTCATCTTCCCTTGCTTTTCAAAGGAGCTTCCAGGTTATTCTGGTTCTTTTAGATTATTTCTATTACTGGAGCAAAACGATTTGACAACAGTTTCACCTGTTGAAATGTTTTTTAAAAAGTAATGACTTAGAGGTTTTCCTAATGCAAAGAGAGAAAATAGACCAAGTCTAATATAAATTTGGGAAAAATAAAAATTAGCAACTGTTGCTTCATTTATTCTTTGTCTTTTCCATCCACATTCCAGAACTCATCATTGAGCAAATAATTGTTATGTATCTGAAGTTTTCCACAGTGCATATTCAGGTACATAATTTTCACTAATTCACACTAACACTTTTTTTTGTAAACCTCCCAGGTTCTCCCAGCAGAGATGTGGGTCCTTCCCTGGGTCTGAAAAAGTCAAGCTCATTAGAGAGTCTGCAGACCGCAGTTGCCGAGGTGACTTTGAATGGGGATATTCCTTTCCATCGCCCACGGCCACGAATAATCAGAGGCAGGGGATGCAATGAGAGCTTCAGAGCTGCCATCGACAAATCTTATGATAAACCCGTGGTAGATGATGATGATGAAGGCATGGAGACCTGTAAGTTTATAATGGCTGAAAGAGTAACAATTAAAATGACTCTATTTCTTAAAGTGAGCTCCAGGGAGCCCTGGGGGTTTCCTAAGACTCTTCAGGGGAATCTCTGAGATCTCTGAGGTCTAATAATCTCTTATTTCATAATAAGAAGACGATATTATTTGCCCTTTAGTCACATTCTTTTATAAGTATACATTGGGGTCTTCTGGAGGCCACATGTCATGTAATACTACATTAGATTGAATGCAGAAGCAGATATGAGAATCCGTCTTACAGGCCAATATTAAACTAAAAATTTTGAAAAAATATTTAACAGTGCCACTGTTCTCACTTCTTTTGGAATATATGTATTTTTTGGTAAAAATGTAATTTTTGTTAACACGAAGCTGCCTGTTTTTAAAAAGTAATATTTTCAAACTTTCCCGGTTTTAATTCAGTACATGTTGCTAGATATAATCCACATACAAAAAGGTTATTTAGAGTGCTTAATAATTTTTGGGGGTATAAAGTCATCCTGAGTGCAAAACGTCTGAAAACCACTACTTTGTAGTATCCCTAATAGGATGTCTCCATTGAATATCTGTAATAATCTGTGATCTTAAAAACACGTTTTTGTTTTGCTTTCAGGAATTACTCTTGCTTTCCTATAACTAGCAAGCTATATTTGTGTGTGTATATTTTGAAATTACAAAAATATTTAAAACCAAGATTATTAAAAGTCAAAGGTTAATATGAATATTTTCCGTGCTTTATTGAAGAAAAACTAAATTTATAGATAGGTACAAATATATCCTTCCAGAGAATTAAACATTTATTATATTAAAGTAACCATTCTATTAAAAAATAATGGAAAAACTCTACTGATACATTTACTAAGAAGCAAAATGGCTTAGGAGTCCTAACAGTGAAAATTGTTGATTATCTTATATTGTTCATAACTACTAATTTACCTTTTAGTGTTTTAACCTCAAATGTGACTCACCTATCAAACTATTGTAAGAATAGTTGGAGGGACCACAGAATAAAGCTAAAGCAGAGACCAGAGATAATGTGTGTGGATTGTAAATTACTTGCAATTCAACATTTGAGTGGACCACTTCTATCACATATACCTAAGAAAGACTTTTGTGGGAAGAAGAGTTTTAAGTAACAAATATCACATTTTGAGAATAAGGAAAAACTTACGTATTTTGCTTATACATATAATGCATTTGAGAAGATGAATATTTCTGTCATAACGTAATATGCAAAGCATAACTTTGAGGCTTGGCTGCACTTCTCTCCACCTCCGCCTGATTCTCCATCTAAATCCAGACAGTTTTTTCACTATGATCAGCCAGTGATTACAAATATATGCAGCCCATTCTTGCAGGATGAAGAGCATATTTCCTATTTTTACTGCCAAACCTGGTCTCCAAGATCCTGAGTCATATGAGCTTTCGAGTCTATTGAGTTTTTTCCCTTTGTAATAATGGTTCCTTGCCATCCTAATCAATATTACTTGACAATTATAGCGCTTGCTTCTATCTTGGGTGTATATTTAATCAAAAATTACTCTGCTTTGGCCCCTTGATATATATTTTTTAAGTATCTACAATTTGTGATGCTTTTGAACTTTTTTCTTGTTCTGGTTAAAATGTTATTTAATTTTCCTTAAAAAGTGCAGTTTGCTCTTACAATATGTCACTCATATCAAATGTAATGGGATAGAATACATATGAATATAAGGTATATTTTTAATTCTGTAGAGATGGCCTTCAGAGTGTCCCACCAACGTGGACATCTGATTTTGTCCCTATGTAAACTTATTTTTCTTAAAATGAGAAATAACATATATTAAAGTTCGTTCATGTATCTGTCCTTTAGAGAAAAAAAGTGAAATGAAACACATGGATAGACAAATTACAATTTGCAAACCAAATATAAAGTTCTGGACAAGACCTGGGAAATATACATGTGGCAGGTGCCCTAAAACACACTGCACCTACAACCACCAAATGTGGTATTTTTCAACAGTCCTGTTTTTATTATTTTTTGCATAACAGTTTTATGAACTTTTCCTATGGCAAATGAAAGGCAACTATTGTAAATTCCAAACTTTTCCAATTTTGGTCGTTGAAATTGTGTTTATAGGGTGGAATGAGCACGGAAGTGGAATTCAGGTGACTTGCATCCTTATCTACATTCGTCTAAGTAATTTGGGATTTTAGTCCAAACTTCAACTGCTTGAGCTTTAATTTCTTCATTTGTAAAACTGAAGATTTGGACTAGATCATTGACTTTCAATTGGTGTGTTGTGATCTCTGGTCAGGAGCAGTACCTCGGTGGATTTGGAGAGTGGGAAAGGCCACCAGCGTCTCCTTCCGCTGCCCTCTCCCGCCCCCCACCAACCTTGACAGTTGTTTTAATCACTTCTGTACATGGGGATCCTTTGTGAATTTTAGTTTTTAAAAAGAGTGTTTTTGAGTATTTAGGAAAAAGTTGTAAAAGTTCTGGCTTAGATGGTTTAGATGGTTCCCAGAGTCCCTCCTAGTTTAACATTCCATGATTCTATGTACCCCCTCACTGCCCTACATCTGGCGCGCTAACCCCCTCACCTTCTGCGAGGCCCACGTGGAAAACACCCTATCTGTTTTCATCTTGCCTTACCAAACACAAAGCTTGGCAAATCATGGAATTCAATGAATGTCTGCCAAATCGATGAGTGGGTGAGTGAGGTATCCCACACTGGACCTTGTATCTACTAGATCTTCAATACCTCAGCAAGCTCTTTGTTTTTCTCTAAAAAAAATTGTCTATCAAACGTGGTGTTACTGCTGGTGGTCATTAGGCTATCAGCTTATGTAAAACTGAAGATGCAAAGGCACTTTCTGCCTCCAGCTTTGGAAAGAAGGCCGGCTTAGTGAGCCCTCCTTCGGTTTCCTAACCACACCATTTTCAGGATCTGGCCTGTGAACTTGCACAGCCAGGTCTCTGGACTTGCTGTCTCTGTGGCTGTGCTCCTGCATTTTTGCCTTTCTGGGCTTGTCCCTTAGCTATGTGTCCCCTGGCTGCATGTCCAACATCCTCCATTGTCTGTGCTAAGTGGGCCTCAGGGGAAGTGGGTTCTTTCTTGTCCCGATGGTCTGACTCAGTTACAGCTGCCCATAGAAATTAAAAAGCCACATCCCCCTTGAACCTGGATCTGGAAAGAGGACCGTCGTCTAGGCAGACGGTCTTTTTATCACACGGGACATTTCCTGAGGATGCAGTGCACCCTGGAAACGTGTGGCTAGAGACTGAGCCATTGTGTAAAAGCTAGTTATGGAGGTCAGCAGGAACAGAGAGCTCCTTCCACCATGCTGCAGGCTCTGGTTTCTACCATCATGTGGCACTTTTCCTCTTTACAAGTGAGACACGTAGGCGTAGGCATGGCTGATTGCTCTTGTCAGTTGGGTCGAGCCCCTCCCCAGTGACTGTATTCATGGCACTGAAAGGCTGGCCTCTTCTCAGCAGTGTGGAAATCATGGCATGGGCACAGCAATGGGGCCAAGAGACTGGGGTGGGATCCATGTGGTATCTGGTAACTGTCATCTTCTGCAGCACTTGCATTCTTCCTGTGGAGATGGCAGAAGCCAGCATTTTTGTCTCTCATTTAATCCATCTGGCATCTCCATGTTGTGTGCGTCTGTCTGGATCAAGATGGAGCTTTGTATTCTGGGACCCATTATCTCTGAGGCCCTACCTGTGTTTGACAGGTCAGGGCATTGACAATCTGCTCCCTCTTCTATGCAAATTACATACCCAGCCTGGCTCTCAGCAAGTGACTTCTACTTTCCCCGTGATAAATCAGTTTCTATTGCTACCAAGAAAATGCATGCAGTAAGATTGCTTTGTTTTCTTTTAAAAAATACATTAATTCTACTTTTTCATAATTAGAAGTTACCAGAAATTGTAAGCCCTGCACTCAGTTTTGAAACAGCTCTTTGATAAGGTTGAGGAAGTGAAACAGCAAAACTAAATATCTCCTACTAATTGTACCTATTGATTTTAAGATACATTCAAGTTCAGAATTTTAAATGTGACAAACTTTGTGCCTTGCAAACATGAAGGCATTATCTTCAAACATGAAGATGGTAGCTTGCATACTTTCCTGTAGAGCTCTTATTAGGAGATAGGAGAAAAGCACTGCTCCAAAATACACGTAATTTAGGTTTTCAGTATGAAATTTGAAGAAACTGAATTTACGTTATTAAATCAACTAATACGAAAGTTTCCAGGGGAATTTCGTTATTGTTTTATTAGCTATGAAATAACATATTGCATTTGATATCTCAGATTTTCTACTCTCAGCATTCTACTCACTTCTAGCCACCTTTCATCACCACCTATTTCAGCAAAAATAATGCAAACTAAGTCTATTTCCTATTTGTTAATCTGTTTTAGTGGATAATTGGATGTTGATCTATAAAAATACTTGTTCTGAAATGCTAAGAATAACCTATCACATCATTTTATGCTAATAAAATAATACATATACTTAACCTGCAGTTTAAGAAAAGGAGCTTTGATTAATTTTTAGGAGGTTTCTGATCATAGTGTGGGTGTATGGTTGTGAAATAACCGAAAGTATTCCTTACATTTCTTTTTCTAGATAAAATGTAACTTAGCAGAAAGTGCAATGAATATTCACATCTGAAGTGAAGTGTTTGAATGATACAATCCTCATTTATAACTTTTTTTTTTTTTTTTTTTAAGAAAGAAAGAGTCTCTCTCTGTAGCCCAGGCTGGAATGCAGTGGCACAGTCTTGGCTCATTGCAACTTCCAACTCCCAGGTCCTGGTTCAAGCAATTCTTCTACCTCAGCCTCCCGAATAACTGGAATTACAGGAATATGCCACCATGCCCAGCTAATTTTTGTATTTTTAGTAAAGACGGGGTTTCACCATGTTGGCCAGGCTAGTCTTGAATTCCTGACCTCGTGATCTGCCCACCTTGGCCTCCCAAAGTGCTGGGATTACAGA